TGTAATATACATATGAAAATACATAAAATATATGCAATATATGAAAATATGTTACATATGTAAAATATATTACATATGTAAAATATAAAAATGTGAGAAGGTATACTTGGATAGGGAAATTGTAAAAATATTACACCAATAATGGCGTCGAAGGGATATACCTAAATACTTACGAACGCATGAATTTAGATGATCAGGAATACTATTTAGTTCAATCAGTTTTGCTTGTGCAGCATTAATTACTTGCAATAAGTCGAAAGTACCCAAATTATTTATAAGGGTATTTCGGTTAACGACAAGTTCGTAGGGTAAAGTACCCTGATTAAATATAGAATTTAGAGGTGCTTTCGCTTTGGCCCCATCAATATGTATAATCTGTTATACATATATTTAATTATGTAAATAAAATAACGTATATAAATGAAGTAATATTAAAAGTTACATAAGAATAAAGTATCTATTCATATGGTAAACAAATAAACAATGTAAATATATAATAAGTGTACATGTACTTATATATAATATTTTATATCTGTAAAGAAGAATAATTATATTTGAAAATGTATGCAAAGGTAAATAAAAATCCTTAGTGAAAATTTTACTTGATTAGGTTTCAGATGAAATTGTACTCTTTCTATTTCATTATTCCACACCACCACTTGAATACGGTGGTGGCTATTATTATTTAATATAAATTTTAATAAGCGATAATGTTTCGCTTTACCGACAATTTTCGGTCCATCTATTTCATCCAGAAAACCGACAACTTCTCTAAATATATAATTTCAAAATTTAGGTAAAATATTTTATTATTTTTCCAACTAAATAATTTACGTGTATGTTTGTCGAGAGCGCGTGCACACATACGTACACATGCATACATATATACATATTGCACATTATATAAAAATTAATAAGTATCTATATATATATTATATAATCATATTGTGTATATATACAATATGATTAACATGTACATATATGTATGCATTAATCATATAAATATAGATAAATTTTATATAAAAAAATATAAAATATGTAAATAAATAATGGTATAAATTTAAGCTTTGTGAAGACTTACACTGTAGAATCCTCTAATTGGACAGATTCCAGCATTTCGTCTGAAGAAAAATTGATCGTTTCCTTTTCGTTATCTCTATTTAAAATAGTAATGTTCTGTTTATCGTTAGATATGCTGTAAATTCATACAAAATATAACTATCTATGTTTTAAAATTGTATTTACCATATAACACATGTTTAAAAGATTATCATATTAGTTATTGTTATACATATATTAATGTAATTATTATGCAAACAGTCAATATATAAATTGATAATATTAATAAACTTACTCAGCAGGATCACCGTTATTCGCCATTTGTAATACATCCTCGTCGGATGTATGGTCAATATTAATTTCATTTTCTCCTTGTATTTGTTCGGTTGTTTCTTTAGTTTTAATAATGTTATTTACCTTTAAATCTTTTATATTTCCTAAAATATATAACAAATAAATAAATACACATGCTAAAATACGAGTACATAAATACACACGTTCACACGCTCTCTCTCTCTCTCTCTCTCTC